TCGACCATGTAGTCAATGTGTGGAAAGGGGTAGCTGTCTTTCGGGCAAGCTTTGTTAAGGTCGGAGAAGTCTATACACAGACGCCACGCGCCACTGGCCTTTTAAACCACGACGGGGTTGGACACCCAAGTCGGGTATTTGGTTTCTTTGACGAACTTGTTGTCGACAAGTTTGTTCACTTCCTCTTCAAGGGCCTGTTGTCGGTCTGGGCCGAGCTTCCTCCTCTTCTGAATGACTGGCTTCACTTTCTTGTCGATGTTGAGCCGATGACACATGACGGTTGGGTCGATCCCCTTCATGTCCTCATGTTTCCAAGCGAAGACGTTGGCATTTGCTCGAAGGAATTATATCAGTTCGGTCCTGAGTGGCTCAGGTAAGCGTGCTCCAATTCGGAGTTGTTTGTTACAGGTCGGCTCGTCAATGCTAATAATTTCCTTCTTCTTCAGAGGGTTCAGCTCGGTTACCTCCTTTCTTCTCTTTGAATTGGTCTCGCGGATCGAGGATGTCATTCTCCTTGGCGGGTTCTTTCCCTGGTCGTCTTCCTCGATCTCGGGTCTTATCTTCTTCGTCCGAGGTGGGTGGTTGCCAGTCTGCCTGGTCGTCTCGGTTCTCGCCCATGTTGACGTTGTTTTTTTCCGCCATGTGGATTTCCCGCGAAGGGATCTCTAAGAACAACTCCCTGGCCTCTCTCTGTTCCCCATAGTGGGTTCTTTCTCCGTCCGCCGTGGGGAATTTTATGGCATAATGAAAAATGAAAACTGCAGCTCGGAGCTTTTATAATGTCGTCCTCCCGATAATCGCGTTATATTCATTGTCGAGATCCATTACTTTGAAGGTCTCCATGATGACCTTGGACGTTTGCCCGTGTCCCCCGAATCTGATGGGGAGAGTGATCTCTCCCAATGGGAGTGCTATGCTTCCGTTGAAGCCGTGGACGCGGTCGTTGCAGGGGCAGACCTCGGACGGGTCAATTCCGAGATTGTTGAATGCTTTGAGCATGAGTATGCTCGTGTAGGCCCCAGTGTCCACCATGATCTGGTGGACGGGGATGCCGCAGATGGGGGCCGTGATTATAAGCGCGTCTGAGTTCGGATGGTCGAACAAACTCGCATCTTCCAATGTTAAGGTGATAGGGCAAGTAGGGGCATTGATCGTCTCCCTGAGGTCCGAGGTCATCACCTGCTTCCCCGAGTTGTAGGCCCTTCGTGCATATGCCTTAGCTTGCCTCCTAGAAGACGTCGGCACGTCTCGGTTGGTATTAACTTTGGGAATGGGATTTGAGCGTCCCGACATTGGCGGCGTTAGGTCGGATCGCGGCTGGGTGTCGGCTTCTCGGCCCCTCTTCCCAAGTTGGTCTTGGGGCGAGCCAATGTCAGTTGATCCGAGCACAAAAATTTCTTTTTCTTCATTGCGTTCGAAGCCTTTTAAAATTTGACCCCCCTTCATCTCCTTCATCATCATCAGGGATTTCTTGTGTCCTTCGCTTTTCCTTGTTATCGCCAGCTTTGGTGAATTTTCTCACTTGTGGATTACCGATAAGTTTCATCAGAGCCGACAACAGACTCAAACACTCGTCCGTATTATGGCCCGACGATTGGTGATAATCACAGTATCGGGCTTTATCGAGTTGGTTCTCCGGAGTTTTCACTGGTCGGGCATCGGGAATGATTCTCTTTCCCTTTATTTCTTCATAGATGGCGGCTGCTCCAAAAACTGAGTAAATGGATCGGTATCCCGCCTTTAAATCCTCCCGGTATTGTTTCCGAGCTGCTCGCACCTCGGGATCATTTGGATCTCCCCACCTCGGGTTCGCAGAGAAGGTCTTTTTGGACGAGTTGCTGAAAGACTTTTTCTTCTTCTCCGACGTCGGCTTCTGTCCTTGGGAGGTGAACGTGAGGTCAGGGACCGACATGCTCTCTTCGGCAATCACGTGGTTCTACGCTCGGATCAAGAATTCCTGGAATGTGTTGGGCTTGTTTTGACAAAGTGCCCACCTGAACATTGATTTGGGCTTCAATCCCGAGATGGCGCTCACCAGGAGAGTTTCAGGGTGGCACGGTTCCATATTCTGCATGCGTTCATTAAAGCGCGCAACATATTTCTTCAAGCTTTCATCGTCCTTTTGGACGATGTTGGTTATCGACTCTTTTGGAATGAGACAGACGTGTGCTCCGATAAAATGGGAGCGGAAGGCCGACCTGAGTTGGACCCAACGTCGGATGGACTGCGCGGGTAGCGAGTAATACCACTTCTGCGCTTTTGGTCCCAGAGTTAGGGAGAACATACGACACCTGAGGGCGTCGGTGGCCCCATGTAGGCCCATCCAC